ACATTCTTAAACATGATTATTGTTTCTTCTGTATGTATTATAAAAAGATTTCTTAAAAAAATTATTATTTATTTGGTATAGGGTCTTGCTACGCAGCTCAGACTCAGTGATCTTCTTATCTTAGCCTTCCCAGCACTGGGGTTACAGGTGTGTGCCACCATGCTTATTTTCAGGGGCCTGCGTGGCATGCCTGGGGTTCCGGGGCCAGAATGACATCTGTTACCTGGGATTGAACCTGTGTCCTTGGCATTTGCCAGGCAGGTGCTTAGATTGCCAAGCTATTTCCCCAGCCCCTACATACATGTATTTATAAGTTGTAATTTTACTCTAAACCTCATACATTTTTTGTTTTTTGTCTTCTCCCATTTTTATGCTGTAAGAACTCTTGTTCCCAAGAACTTTACTATATGTACTCATTTGTTCTGTTAGTAATTTCAGAATTCCAATACTACAAAAAAAAAAAAAAAAAAAAAAAAAGAATTCCAATGCTACATTAACAAATCTGAGTAGAGGTCACTTTATTTTGTTAGTTTTTTTTTTTTTTAATTTATTGTATCCTTAAAACATCTCACTGAGAACTGACAGAGCACTATAGTCAAATATTTCTTTTTTTAAAAAAATTTAATTAATTTATTTATTTATTTTGTGTGTGTGTGTGGCCAGCTCAGCCCACCAGGGGGCGGGGCGGGCTATCATGTGGTGCTGGGGGATTGAACCAGGGTCCCTGTGCTTTGCTGAGCTTGTTCTAAGTAGGTGCTTTAGACCACTGAGCCATCTCACCAGCCCCAGTCAAATATTTATTGAATTAATTTTTTTTAAAAAAATCATTTGTTTGTTTATTTATTTATTTGTCAAAAGGTCTCACTACGCAGCTTGAGCTTTGTAGTGATCCTCCTATCTCAGCCTCCTCAGTGCTGGGATTACAAGCGTGCACCACCATGCCCGGTTTTGAGCCTGGCACAGCGCACCTGTGGTTCTGGGACAGTTAGACTGCCAAGCTATCTCCCCAGCCCCTTGAATTAATTATTTTCATATGTGCCTTCTTAAGTATTTCTTGAGTTATTTTTTACATGATATTAATATAAAACTATTGTTTCTATATTGTGTTATGCTTTGCTTTTTTTTTCAAAAAAATTTTTTTTTGAATAAACAAAATACATAGTTTCAAAGGCAAAATCGTATCTGTTCAAAGATCTTTTATTCTCATGTACTGCTTCCACCTTGCTCAGTAGCTAACTGCTGTAATTAATTTCTGGGTTATGTTTTCCAGGGTTTTTTTTTTTTTTCAAATAAAAGAGCAAGTAATTTATACTTTAATTTTTTCTTTCTTATACAGACAACAGCAGGATATAGCTATTTATGTGAACAATGTAGCGTTGATGTTTTTTTCTATGTTGGTTTGTAGAGATCTTTTTCTTCCTCTCATTTTTCTACCCTCCCTCATCTCTACCCCTCTTCTCTCCTACTGCTCTACATAATAGTTATAAAGTGTACCAGAATTTATGCAGCCAGTCTCCTGTGGGTGGGTATTTAAGTTGTTCCTAAGTATTCGATATTTGTAGACTTTTTCTAGTAAGTGGCTTCACATGTATAGTTTTGAGGTGTACTTTCAGAGTAAATTTCTATCCATTGGCTTATAGGTCTAAGGTTCAACACATCCCTGGTTGTTAATAGATGCCCCTGCAGAAGGGTTTAAGGTGGAGTGAAAGGCAAGTACAAAGACTATGGGACTGGCCCTTGGCCATGTGGCTGCTGTGCTGAAGGATTAGCAAAGAGGTCACATGGAGAAACAGATCTAGCAATGAAAGTGAGCTACTCAAGGTTCTGTGTACTGGTGTTAGAGCCCCGAATTAGAGCACTGTTTTCTGTATTCCTAGTCGATTGCAGCACACTTGATAGGCACGGAATGCATGCATTATGGCCTGGAATTCCCTTTGTAGCCCATGAACTTGGGATCTTTCTGACTAATCCTCCCAAATGTTGGGATGCCTAGCTCTTTCCTTAATGTTTTTGGATATAATGCTTTGCTCCAAAATTTGCAGGATCAATTAAGTTTTAAGTTGCTCAGTGCTAGTTTTGGTGGCACAGACCTGTAATTCTAGCTCTTGGAAGGCTGAGGCAGAAGGATTGCTGTGAATCTGAGACCAGCCTGGGCTGCATGGTGAGAACTTGTCTCAATAAAAATGAACTGCTATGCTGGAGCTTAACTGGTTATATGGTAAAAAGCAAAACAAAACATCAGGCTAGGACATGACTTTGCTCCCAAGGGACTTAAGCAGCAGCCAGTGGTGGTGTGTTCCTCTGTCTCTTGTATATATCTCTACCTTAAGGCCAGTCCAGGGCTGTACTGTCCAGTGCTTGCGCCCCTAGCCACATGTATCCACTTGAAATTTGGCTAAGCTGAATTGAGATGTACTTGCTCTAAGTGTAAAATACATTCCAGATTCCAAAAACTTAGTATGCAGAAAGAATTAAAATAGCAGTAATTTAAACATATTGATTATATGCTAGAATAGTATTTTAAATATATTGGGTTAAATAAATATGAAATTAATTTCACCTTTTAGTTTTTTAAATGCGATTTACAGAAATTGAAGATGGCATATGTGGTTCAGCTGTTGTTTCTATTTGTTAGCGTGGTCTAGAATTCCTCAAGTTTAGGTTAAACATTACTTCCATTGGATCATATCAAGAGGTATATAATCTTAGTTTGTTCCTCCAGTAATGACACTTAATTTTAATAAATTTCAAAATTATCTGTATTAAAGGTATATTTTGATCACTTCCAGGACATTGATTGCAAAGATGCCTTTGTTATAATGCTTCCACAGTTTCTATTGCAGGTTACTTTTTTTTTTTTTTCTTTTTAAACCACTGCAGAACTTTATATTGAAAGGATACTTTTCTTTTTTCTTTTTTTTTTGTCTTTTTGAGACAAGATCACACTATACAGTTTAGGCTGACCCTGGGCTCACTTTGTAGCCCAGACTGGCCTTGAACTCACAACATCTTTCTTCAGCCTCTGAATGCTGGGATTACTGGTGTGCGCCACTGCACCCAGCTGAAAGGATACATTTTGAATGCTTCTGGGTTGACATAGAGTTGGTATTTTTTTTTTTCCCCCTTTGGCAGTTAGAAATATGTGGAGTGATAGTTTGACACTTTGAGAATACTCTGTTTCTCGTCTCTTTTTTTTTTTTTTTTTTTTTTTTTTTTTTTTTTACCAGTAGTTTAGTGCGTGTTGAGGATAATTTTCCTAATAATTATTTTGGGGGCTGTGCAAAATGATTTTCTTACGTTGTCATGTCTTTTCATAAATAGCATTCTTCTGTACTAAATGCATTTTTTTTCACTTACTTTTTTAAAAGTGAGAATTAGCTTTGTGGTATGTGGGTGAGTCATTTTATGCAGTAGGTGTTTGATTTGGAAAGTTGGATACAAATGAAAATTGTAAAATATGAAATCTTAGCTTACATGTACAATGGTCTTTCACTCTTCAAGGGAAACATACTGTAAATTTTTAAAAAAATCTGGTTCTCATTCTTGTTATTCTTATAGTCTGAATTTTCATATGTGACAATTATTCAACACATTATTGATTGCTTATGATGTACCAGGCACTGGTGAGCACTCACAGAGAGTGCTCAGAAGAACTGTGCTTCCTATCGGATGCTCTGCAGATAGAGGACATCTCACCTCAGCATGGAGTTAAGATGATGGCAGTTGCCCTTCGAATGCTGGCAGTTAAGAAACTGTCCTACAAATCGTGATTTGTAGGTGTTACAGGCTTTTGCTAATAATTCTAGGTAAGGAAATGCTCTGAAGTTCAAAAACCATATTATTCTCATAGGACTGAAGTTATGATTCTCTTCTCATTTTGCTGCTCTAGTTTGCAATTTGCTCTTATTGTTTTTCTAATGTAACATTGAATTATTTCACATTCTGCTCTGTGTAACTTTGCCTAATTTTTGGTCCTCTGAAGACATTTCCAAGTTTCTGAGGTCCATACCTGTGTGAAGCATGTCTTAGAGGCATACATTAGTGGCTTTTTAAGCAGGAGGGGACTATTACCAGCTGAGTCTGCTTAGTTCACTAGTTTTCTCCTGGACTGAGGAGGACAGAAGTGTCCTAGTTCACAGAAGAGCAAGGGATTCCTAGAAATTTGAAAAAGCCCTGCCAAGAATGAACCTAATGATCTTCCTGTCCCTGCTTTTGGATAAGCTATAATATTCTCCTCATCATGCTGACTTGAACCAGTAGTTAAAGATTGAAGAGAGGCACCTGCTGCCTCTCAGCCATGGAATAGCAGAAATCTGTAGCTTTGGAGACTTCCAAGGGAATACTGAGTGACAGTTACACTTACCTGGATAAATGTTTACTAGGGGTATGTTATGGTTGATGTCTGAATGTTGCCTCAAAGCCTCATGCACTCATGAGTGGGGCTTTTAGGAGGTGATTGGATCATGAGGGCATGAACATGGGGTGGGGATAATCAGTAAATTTGCAGCTAAATGTAATGGTTGGTGAAGCCGGGTGGAGGAGTGGCTCACTGAGGGCGTGGCCTGGAAGGGTTCATCTCTTCAGCTTCTCTGTATCCTCACTGACATACCATAAACACATATCCTATGCAACTGTGGCTTGGAGCCAGCTCATGGACTGAAACCTCTATACAAAGCCAAGACAAATCTTTTCTCTTTTAAATTGTGGGTGTTGAGTATTGTGTCTCAGTGACAAAGGTGACTAAGACAAGGTATTTCTTAAAGCCAAATAATTTTCCCACTAAAAATGTCTTTTAGTGTTTTAAAATCTAAGCTGCATCTCTAGTATTTCCTTTCAGATTGGTAAAATAGTTTAAAGTCTTTGAAGTGGTACGTCTGTGAGTTACACAGTTATGACCTCAGGTTCTAGAATATTAAATGAACATTCTTTTTTAAAAAGAGATATTTTACTTTAGATTGACCTTAGTCCAGAATCCAGCCATCGTATTGCCAAAGGGAAAAAGGTACCCAAGTGGTAAGAAGACACTTCTTGCCATGAATTGGTTTGGACGTTACTTCCCTAAGAGTCCTGAGAATGTTTCCTTACTCAAAACACGTTCCCCTCTCCTGTTTCCACTGATCTCGTCTGAAGATGGACACTTCATTTCCAACTTCAGGTAGCAAGTGAGATAATTCCCCCTGCCCCAGCTTTTGTACTTTAGTTGGAATAGTAAACTAATCTCTTCTTGAGTCCCAGGGAAAGGGAAATGGCTTGGAAAGAAAGTGGTTTCAGACCTTTCTCACGTGTGCTAGAAAATGGGGCCCCTGATGAATTCCTTCTGGACTTGCTTTTGGCTGATAAAAAGAACTGGCTTGGTTAAAAGGATGTTTGTTCATTCTTATTGTTGCACCCTGATCAAGTGAACTTTATTTCTGGTGACTGCCAATAATTTCAACCCCTTTGAAATAAAAAGTTAAGGGTTTTGGCTTAGGTTAAGAATGAAATAATCCAGGATGCTTGAGTAGAAGGCAGAACAAATTCTTAGTTTTTAAGTTTGATTAAAGACGAGAGTGACATGAGTTGTTCCAGGCTGAGTGAGGTACTGGGTATATGGGGCCAGCCACGCAGTTGGAAGTGCTTAGCTGCCACAGATGAGGAGAGAATAGGATGAGGCCCGATGGGCCATCCCCTGACACTCTTTAACTGGGTAGGAGATGAGATATTAACTGGCGTCGTTCTCTTGTCCTCACCTGTTAAAGCTTTCTACTGCTTCTGTTGATTAGTGTTACCAGCTTTCCTGGTTTGCCCAGGATGGTACTGGTTTTAGTACTGAATGTTCCCTATCTCAGTAAAACCTTTAGTCCTGGAAAATTTGGCATGGCTGGTTACCTTGGCCAAGTTTTAAGATCTTGAGTTAGCACATGACAACTGAAAACTGGCCCAGATTTCCTTTCTCTTTTCATTGTTTTCAGGAAAGTATGCACAGTGCCCTAGGGTATGTGTGTACCAGATCCCGGGTTTAAAATAATATCGTCCATTAATTGTGTGCTTACTGTGTGCCAAGTACATGGTCTTGGTTAATACTTATTGTCAGTCAAAGGAGTGAGTATTTTAAATCCAGTTTATGGAACAGGAAGAGATCAAAGCTGAGGAAGGTGACAAGTTTATGTTTTCCGAGGTCAAATAACTCGGATGCAGCTGAGGCATGTTTGAACTTCAGTGTGTCTAAATCTGAAGGTTGAGCTTTTTCCACTAAATGAAGTTATTTCAATGAATTTAATAAATGGATAGATGCTCTGACTTAGCATAATACTATGGCCAACAACTTCACCTGTTTGCACACTCGTTTCTGTTCTTCATGGTGGCATAAGATTTCCTAGGATAATACACAAAAAGGCCAGCAAGCTAAAATGGTTACTTTAGACTTACACTTGTAGCAGCCCCTAATTCACCCTTCATTTCTTAATGGGCCTGCTAAGTGCCTAGTGCTGGAATGTGCTCAGTGAAGAGTAGATGTGGTTGTTATTTTAATTATGGAATCTGAGCAGTAATCTTGAACTGAAATGTCTTAGATAATGTATGTAAACTCAAATATTTTAATTGAAAAATCGTCAAAGATTTAAGTTAGTAAGGAAAGAATACACTTCTCCTTGAGTGTCATGTTAGACAAACACTTTTTCCTCCAAGGAAAAGCTATCCTCTTGGTTATTTGATTTGGAATTAATAGAAGACAGGCTTCCTTGGTGTGATAAAAGGTGTTATGCACATAATGCTAAGATAGAAACAAAAAATTCTGTTCTAGGCTGCAAGCTGTAAATAGCTTATTTCAAGGAAGAATCTAATCCAGCTGCTCATCCCTAAATAATCCCTCTACTGAAATGAGTGATGATAGCAGGTCTTAGCATAATGATGGACGTTCTCGGTGGGAAGTGACACCGAGAGGGAAGCTCCTTGGGCTGTGGGGGGACACAGAAAACTTGTAGGCCACCCTTGCTTTTATTTCGTCAATTCACACCAGAGAGTTGTGCCTTTACTAGAGAAAGAGATGCAGTTAAAGTCATAGAGTAGAGAAATTAGATACGAGGAAGACTCAAATATGATGGAAGAGGCCAAATTCATTTAATCCATTGTAGCAGATATTTACCACGTACCCACAAGTTTCTTAGGTACAGTGTGCTAGATGCTGGACATACAAGGAGAAGCAATACATGCCTCCTGGCCTCAGAGAGGTCACATGGAGCTGGAGAAGTAATCCAAGTATAAAAGTAGTTTCCTCCGGACCAATTTCACATACTTAACATATTTTAGGTTGTTTGGGCTACTATAACAGAACCACAGACTGGGTGAAAAAAAGAAGAGAAATTCCTTTTCTTACAGTTCTGAAGGCTAGATTTTGGGATCACTGTCCAGTATAGTTGTGGGGTTTTGGTGAGTGCTGCCTTCCTGTCTTGCAGTGTGATCACCTCACATGACCATTTCCCCTGTGCACTGGGGAGAAGGGGAGGGGGAGGGCGTCGTAAGGAGAAGAGGGAGAGGGAGGGGAAGGAGAGACAGGCAGAGGCAGAGTGAGTTATGCCTTCCTCTTACGTGGTTACCAATCCCATTGAACTAATGTTTTCCCCCTGAGTTCATTTAATTTTATTTTCGAAAAGCCTTGTCTCTATGTAGCCACATTGGAGGATAGGGCTTCAACACAAATTCTAGGGAATAAAAGTCAATTCATAGAAGTAGGCTCTGAACTCACATAAAAACATGAGCTCATGTGCTTTCATATCATGTATGTATATATATTTTGCAAATTTGCTTTTAAAATTATTTGGCTATGAGTAATTCACTTAATTACTAGTTGCTACTTAGCAATCATGGATACGTGGGAGTTTTTGCAAAACAATTTCCAAATTGCTTTCAAATGTAGCAAAATATATGAGTTCTACATTTGACAATTAATGAAATTAACATAATGTTAAACTTTTGTGTTTAAGCATTAATTTGTATTCTGCACTTTTTATATTTTGGAGCCAATACTCTTGAAAAGCTCATTAGATCCTAAATGTGGTCTATATGCCTAACGGATGAAGGACTGGAGATGTCTCATAGATCTTGTAACTAGTTCAAGACAGATCACTGCCAGCCCTACAAGCTCTGGTGCAGCACTTCCATTTCTTTCTTTTCTTTTTAAATCTGTTAGTTTTTAAAAAAAAATTTTTTTTTAAATTTTATTTATTTATTTTGTGTGTGTGTGTGTGTG